GGTTAATCCCACAAGACAACAAATAAATCGATGTAGCTAGCGGAACTTTCTTACCATTCAAATCTATTTAGTTTCTATCACCGTAAGTTTATTTTTATTCAGCCAATTAGGACGTCGTTAGCAAAGCAATGCATTGTACTTCTGATCTATTTAAATTTTCTATAATTTGTTCAAGCACACTTGGTGATGGTTTTAGTTTATGAGGAGATTGAATAACGTGATATAATTTCATTACATCCTCCACAACAGATCGCTGTCTGTATCAGGAGTATATTTGAGAGAGAAATAATTATAGATTTTCATTAACGCAATAGAGTCCAAAACAATGATTTTTATAAATTTTTCTGTTTGTGAGCGCTAAACAATAAAACGGCTTAACTGAATCACATTGAAAAAAATTACTATAAAAATACTGTTCAGTTGATCTGGGTGGAACTTTGGACAACTATATTTATAATTTGTAAAACGATTTCCTTATAATTCGAAAAGGAGTAAAAATACATTGAAACATTTTGCTATTACAAAAATTATGGTCCATAAGAATGAAGTCTTGAGCATAGAAATAATTTTTTTTTTGTATTATGTGAACGGCAATTTGTTGATGAGACATACATTTCCTTGGCATTTACTTAATTCCCAATCAGAGTTCAAGGTGTTTCTTTCGGAATACACTATACTATAATTCCAAAACAGTATGCACTGAGTTCTCAGAAATGACTTACGTTTTTGCTCTAATCTGTCTCTTGCAGTGGCGGACGGAAGTTATACCAAACAGATGAGGAAAATTCATGAGTAAATATATAGAATCACAACCTTTAGTGCCTACTATATCACAACCTTCAGTGCCTACTACCATGAAATTGTATTATAGTTGACAGTGCTGCTGTAACCGGATTACCTATATACTGAGGAAATGTTAAATTTGAGATTATTCCAGAAATATTCGCATTGAGTAATAACTATTTCATTGAATTAACTATTTTCCAAATAGTAATGAAATTATTCAGTGAAAATACCAAAATGATTGATATTTTTATCCTGTTCACACAGGATAAAAATATGCATTAAGCTTCCAGATGTTCGAACGCTAATTCATGTATATTAATTCTTTTCTTCAATATTTTTCGATTCTTTACCGATATCTGCTGTACACCCTGCCATCAATTTAACTGTCCGTTAAGTTGTCCTATTGTGCGGAGTTTCAGATAGTAAAAATCCCCTAATACTACATGAATCAAAACGAAAATACGTAAGCCTGTGCATGGATAGGATATTCTCAATTAGAATCAAAACCGCAGACATATCACTGTAGCGGTGTTTTTGGCATTTTGGGGAATTAGAGTAATGCCATTGTTCTTGGATACAAATTCAATGTCGATAGGTAATTTATTTTGTTGACAAATATGGTAACAATGGTGGTCTACTGAATGTAAGTGACCTGGGAATGAGAAAATATAATTCAAAGTATATTTCAATTCTCAAGAGTTTATTTATTGCAATAGACCATAGACCATTCTCGAGCGACAAACAAAACTTACTTGATTTCTTCGAAAATCAAGCTTTTTCAGCAATTATTGTTGTTTTCGAAGTATTGAAAAAAATTACCTAATTTCAATTTATTAAAATTTTCAACAATTATCATAATTTGTTAAAACCAGAACAAAGTATTCGTGATCCAAAATAAGATAGCTTGTGCGAGTGTAGCTCGCACAAGCTGAAGATTAACGAGGTCTTACCTTTTAACGTGTGATTCCTAATATATACATGAAATAGAAAAGGTTTCCGAATTGTTTCTAGTGGAAAACCAAATATGCTTCAAGCAACAAATATTTCCTCATCGAAGATCTGTGATAGGTATATAAATACGCACTACTGGTATTCTGGCGTTTATTACTTACTACATTTTTGTTGTTAAAGCACAAATAACATTTTTGGTTGAATATTCCTTCCTTAGACAAAATTATCTTATAAAGAATTGTGCAATAATAATTCACCCAAAAATGATTCCAAATAATTATTCGAAATTCGAATGTGGAATTCAATTTTGGAAAATAATGCTGAAATTTGTTAGACAATGAAGAAATTAAACCACTATTTTATTAAAATCGATAGTATCTTGAAACTATTCGCATTACACGAATCATTTCTCATAATGAACCATTATGGGATCATTGAGGAGATCACCTGAAACTGTTACTATTGATCCACTTTGTGGTGTGATAATTCCATATGCTGTGTCATATCAAGTTTATAGATGCAGTAAAGTGACCTTTCGTAAGTGATAAAAAGTGTTGAATATATAATAAACTTGATGAATATTCATCAGGAAGTGAGAATAAATATTTTCTTCAAACTTATTGCGATATATTTATCGTTTCTAAATCTCAATATATTTAGTTCGAATATGACTGCCTGCCTGTGCAGTCAAATAATCAGATAAGAGAGCATGATACGGCCATAAATTTGGTTATGACAAAAATTGAGATAAATATTGCAGGCACAGCAAAGTACACAAAGGGGTGTGTGTATGTATTTCACCCACTTCAAACTTAACTCGATTTCCAGTATAGTGAATTAGTTCCAATGCTTTCCCTATAATTAAACCATTCTCACAAATCAAATTATTATCCTACGAAATGAACTTATTCTGATTCCATGAATCGTAGTTCGAGGTATTGCGGACTCATGATTTCTATCAATGAATTTATAGAAAACCAATGATTCCCGGTATTTCGAACAAATACGAAAACAATATGATTTCAAGGTATTTGGAATCAAGGAATTTCAGATTTTGAAATGAAGTGATCACAACATCGATGATAATCGGTTTACAAAACAAAACCTTCTCTTTGTTGACTGATTTCAAATTCAAACATATCTCGACTCGAATATATAGCGATAAGTGAATGGATCGCTCTTTATTTTTCGTTTTTCATTTCTTTTCATTTTCTATTTGAAAGTCTATCTCACTCATTCACTCACTCACTATCTCGATCATATCTAGGTCAAAAAATATATTTAATTTTTTCGAAATTCTTAAGTGAAAGTTTTGGCTTACATAGTTTACATCCTTACACTTGACTGCACCATACTGACGATGGGTCAAAAGCCCGAAACACGTGTCTATGGATTGCCAATTTCTTGAGTGCTATATCCAATTATTGACTTTATTTATAACAAGACTCTCAATAAATTCCATATTTGTAGGATTTCCTAGACCGGATGTCACGTAGGTAGCTACAGCAGCCTCCGTGGTGATTTTGCCTAGTAGGAGCGGGGGAGCCAGGCTCCGGATCCTAGATGGTTCTGACAGTATGATCAGAACCCTCAGATGAACTATCAATTTGTACGTTTGGACTAGTGTCCATTTCATTAACATCATTACTATTAATAAGAGGTGTGGCCACCTCGCGTGCCCGACTTCTCGTCACTGGGCGTGACGAAGCTTCAGACTCGGAATAATAATTCCGAGCCTCCAATTTGACACTGTCGATGACAGCTTTTTTCGATATTTTTTTCAATTTTCTTGGTTTTTCCTTCCTAATCCATTCGTTCACCTTGCGGCTGGACACGTCTGGGAGTGGAGGAAATTCATCTGAGATAAGTACTTTTTGATCATTCCCATAATGATTTCAATTTAAGAGCCACCGGTAGACAGCTGTTTCAGCCTATATTCATTTTTTGATTTTCATGGAATTATTTTCCAGCAGCTTGACTGCATTAATCTTTCTAGATTTCATATCATTTCTAGAAACATGTGGATTCGTTTTCCGATGGCATTTCAGGTTAGCTTCCCAAATTTCTGCTACCGCAGTTGTCGGATGATTGGTCAAACAACCAACACTGACATAAAAACTTGGCAAGTTGACTTGGGTGTCACACCCATAGGTGGTTCCGCTTGCGTTTACGCAGCTATTTTTATCAAGTACTTTCTTGGTTTTTCTCATAATCATTTACATATGTGAAGTTAGATGTCAAAGTGACAACGTTATAAGATTTCGCTGCGAAAATTTTGATAATTTTTGGTGTTTCTGGTTGATGATTAGTCAATCACCGGTAGTAGTTCTCTTGTGTTAGTTGTGTGCGTGTTATGGTGCGCAAGAGCCTTCAAAACTTCTGGTGAGTACGTTTAAATTTATCCTTTTCGTTACTGTTCACTGTGCTCTCACGCCTGACAAGTTCCGATTAAAAAGTCTCATAGCAGCATGGAGAAACTGCTTCGCGGTCTGGCTGGCAGGGAAAAAACCTAGATTGTTAGCATTGTATGCCAACTAATCTCGTGCTTCGGTCTGAGTCAGTCGGATTTGCATGGCAGTGCATTGCCAGTCCCTGGGGTCAGCCGTCAAATTTTGACGGATGAAAATCAGGGAGTGGCTAATGCCCCAACTGAAAGTGAGATTTCTTTGAGAGACTCAGATAATGAAAGCAACCTTTCCTTCTCCTCCACTTCCAAGAAAAGAAGAATCTCAGATGAATTTCCTCCACTCCCAGACGTGTCCAGCCGCAAGGTGAACGAATTGATTAGGAAGGAAAAACCAAGAAAATTGAAAAAAATATCTAAAAAAACTGTCATCGACAGTGTCACATTGGAGGCTCGGAATTATTATTCCGAGTCTGAAGCTTCGTCACGCCCAGTAACGAGAAGTCGGGCACGCGAGGTGGCCACACCTCTTATTAATAGTAATGCTGTTAATGAAATGGACACTAGTCCAAACGTACAAATTGATAGTTCATCTGAGGGTTCTGATGTTACTGTCAGAACCATCCAGGATCCGGAGCCTGGCTCCCCCGCTCCTACTAGGGAGAACGAGCAACCCACTGCCACTGCCACTCCCAAAAAGGTGAAAATCCCACCAATTGTCGTTCGTTAGAAGGACAAGTGGGTCTAACTGATTAAGACAGCAGCTGAGCAGAAGATCAACTTCTCCAAAGCTGTAAACTTACATGATGGCATCAAGGTTCAGCCTGTGACCCCTGACGATTATCGACAATTGCTGCTGGCGACTTCAATGCCAAGCACGGACTATGGAGCAGAGCCACCAATCGAAACGGCCGAGCGCTCCATGCGCATGCTGACAGACATGAATACCTCGTGTTGGGACCAGGTGAACCTACGTTCTATCGCGGGCAGTATAGGCCTGACGTACTTGACATCGCGCTTCTCAGAAACGTCACTCTGACCAGCGAAATTTACGTTCAGTCGGAACTGGACTCCGATCATAATCCAGTAATCCTGGTATTGGGTGATGAACTTCCTTCCCCTGATTATTGCATGAGATATAAGACGGATTGGGATGTCTTCACAGCTCAGCTCGGAGAGATGCGCGCCCCTCCTGAGGGTCTCCGCTCTCCCAACGAACTCGACGCGGCAGTTCACCGCTTCGAGATCTCCGTGAATGATGCTTTTCGGACGGCCACCTCCAGCGAGGAGTGTCCGCAGAAGAGCTATAATGAGTTTCCCCCTCGTATCAAAGCCTTGATACGAGAGAGAAATCGCCTGAGAAGGCTCTATCAGCGAACACTCTTAAAAACTTGGCAAGTTGACTTGGGTGTCACACCAATAGGTGGTTCCACTTATGTTTCGCTTGCGTTTACGCAGCTATTTTTATCAAGTACTTTCTTGGCTTTTCTCATTTTGTATTTTCAGTTAAAAGGGGAAGGAGGCCAGGCTTCAACCTGAATAAAATCAAGATGGATTCATTCTGTCTTCTTTAGTCAGGGAAGCTATAGATTACGCTGTAGACGACCCCTCCCGATATAGAAGGCCCCGACACTCTGTCGAATGAGGCCCCTATGTCCTCCGTTAACAGATGAATAATATCTTCATCCATCTCACCCCAGCCAGGTAGGGGTATACAGCGAAGGGCGATATGGATGTCTGAGGACTTTCATGCCACCATCAAACACCAGTCATGACCCGTTTGTCTTTCTGACAAACACCAGTTAAAAGGGGAAGGGAGCCAGGCTTCAACCTGAATGAACTCAAGATGGATTACGTCATAATCATTTTGTCTTCATTTTGTCTTCAATTTTGAAGCGAGGAATGATGCATTTTCAATAAATAATTGTTAAAATTAGGCTGCTAAGTCTATTTTAAAGCAGAGTTTGGATGCTTGATTTCTTTGTGGTGCGGAGATTTATTGTTGTTTTGTTTCTTAGATTTTATTTTTGTCTTTTGCCTGTTTTCCTTGAACAAACTCTTTATTGTGGTGTGGTATGACTATAGTTATTTGTAGGAGTTTGTGGTGTATTATTTGATAGAGTTTTTTTCAATATGGTATCGGCCAGTTTTCTGAAATGTTCTCTTTTACCAATTTAAGATGCTTTGTCAGAATCTTTTGGGTTTTTCTGTCTTCAGGTGTTAGGTCGTTAACGACTTTGATGTTTGTTTCTTTCAGGTCGTCCGATTTCGCAATGGTTTCTTGCCGCTTGTAGATTCTAAGAAAATTAGCCTGTTATTATTCGCAGCTTTTTTCTATTCTGTATGTATTGTTTATATCCTCCTCTCTGATGCAAGTACCCACTTTGGAATTACAAATCGAGATCACTATGCCTTCAGTGTTCTCGTTTGTTTCTTCCGCAACACCAAAAATCAAGACGTAATTTTTTTCAGAAGTTGTGTTTGTATTCATCAGTTTTCGTTTAAGTTCTAAGTTTTTTGTTTGACTTGTTCTAATTCTTCTTTGATCTCTTCAGTCAGTAGCCAAGCGGTTCGGCGTGGGTGCTTTGTTCACTCACTCGAATTGACTGCCGTGTTGGTCGGTGGTTCAAGCCCTAGTCTGAACGATCGATCTTCACTTGCTACCGTCCAACCCGTGTTAGGAATCACACGTTAAAAGGTAAGACCTCGTTAATCCTTAGCTCGCACAAGTTTCGACTTCTGAGGGTTGTTGTTCGTAGGGGTGCGACAGCTGGTTAACGGAAAAACAGATTTTAAAACAGATTTTTTTTTTTAAGATTTTCAGCGTGAATACTAATACATTTTTTAGATTCTGCTATTTCACTTTATATTACTTCATTTTGTGATGCTAAACTTCGTGATAGGTATTAAATATCCTTGTTAGGAGGTTCCCCCATATCAACATTTTCCTAGTGTTTGGCAACGTCGTCTATGGTAGAGCTCTTGGTGCGTGTGTGTTTATGTTTTGAATTATTTTATTCCTAAATTTGGGATTGATTAGACTCATCAGTATTTTTGTTCTCAGTATAGTGATTACCGATGGTCAGACAATATTTTCCAAAATTTTTCGACATCAAAAACTGGTATTCAATTTGAACCATATTGATTTTTTGTCCATTTGTAAAATCACTTGAAAATGAAGAATGGTTTATATGATATATGAAATTACATAACATTACATTTACATCATTGTAAATGAATATTTTGAATGCGTGACTTTAAAATTGCTCCTTTGTCGAAAGCTACTGTTGAGTCACAATATATGTACAACTGTCGTTTTGGTATGTGAACCAGGTCGAATATATTATCAAGCGAAGCATTTAACGCTTGATGTTTGGAAGACGATGTGTCCATTATTGGACATTTTCATTGAGGGCGACTCGAAAGTGATTTATTCATGGTTATGGAATATTCCGTGCTGGGTATTGCAAGTTAAAAGGTAGGACCCTGTTAGTCCTTACCTTGCACAAGGTTCGACTTTTGGGGGGTCGTCGTTTTTTGCGGGGCGGCAACTGGTTAAACAAATTTCAACAGATTTACAGATGTTTTAATAAGAATGAGGATTGAGGCCTTATTTATATTCCTTGTTCATTTCGAAATCGCAGAAACTGCAGTCTCTTGCTACAAATTGAGGAGTATCAGAATAGAGCTGTAAACAATTGAAAAAAGTACACATATAGTTCGTCCATAGTTTCACACCGTTAATTCGAAGTTTCCACAACGTATGAGTTCGCTGTCTTCACTGGTGCAATATTATTATTGAATTTTACAAAATTATGAATCTAAACTAACCTTTTCTTGTATTCTCTTTCATAAATTCATGCATCTCTGATATCAGGACATTTGCTTCGATTCCAACTGGAAACTAATATCTACCTTAATAAGCTGTGTATACCAACCAACGCACTTACAAATTCCAATTAATGCTCCAGAATCTTCATGAACGATCACTTCTCCCATTACCTTGAACCACAAGTTCTGGAATAACCGACAGATTGATATCTCTGATAATTCACGTAACTGGGTGCTAGGTGTACATTTCCACTCGAAATAGCAACAAATTACTATGTTTCTACGTCAAAACACTAATTATGTCTCTAATGAGCCGTGCTTAAAATATAGTCCGGAAGAATTACACAAGTTGATGTATTGAAGTATTCACCATCAGGAAACATGACAGAAGTAGAGAGTAGATTTTCACCAATACCTCATTCAAAATACACATTGAATTTTCAAATTGAATTGAACTTTGATATGTTTGATAAATATACTTGTGAGCTTGCCTATTGCGGAACCAGGTAACAGTATCAAACATTCCTTAAAGTTTGTTTGAATGTGGTTGACAGGTACTTCCATATAAACATTGAATTATACGAAAGACATTTTTTTTTAAACAAATACTTCTATATGAACACTGAATTATACAGAAGATACTTTTCTCTACTCAGTTTGTATTTCAAACATTCGTAATGTCACGGAATAAGCTTGATCTGCTTATGTTATCGATGACATCGTAATGACATTCATTCACCTATTTGATTTAATCCCAGCCGAGAGGAATCTTATAAGTATATATAATCTTATAACCAGTAGCTGTTTCAGGAAGAATTTCTTTCAGTTTGTGTCTGAAAGTTACTTCTTTGCATGATCTACACATGCACGTATAGAGTTACTTATTTTCAAATTGATTACTTCCTTCCTTTCTTTGGAAGATTCCCTCATCCTTTTTTTTGTATCAAGAGGGAGTAGTAGAAAGCCAAAAACTTTCTTTCCCAAAAATTAATCACTCCTAAAAGTATAACCCTTTCAGTTCAAAATATGTTTTTTCCGTTAACCAGCTATCGCACCCCTACGAACGACAACCCTCAGAAGTCGAAACTTGTGTGAGCTAAGGACTAGCGAGGTCTTACCTTTTAACCTGTGGACGATAGCAAGTGAAAATCGAGCGTTCAGCCTGAGGCTTGAACCATCGACTCACACATAGGCCGATTAACTGAGTGAACAAAACATCCACGTCGAACCGCCCGGCTACCGACAAACGGTTTGCTGTTGGGATAAAACTCCAGTAATATTCATTTCAAGAGTACAGACAATGTATATTGTATTATGTGAATTACTAGAACATTTTTCTAGTTGCCATAGTCGTCGACCAAAAAGTAAACAAATGAATTCAATAATTTCTGAAAGCAACAATTCTGTGACAGTTGTTATCAAGGTTTTTGCATACTCAAATGGAAAACTTTGTAAGTATTTGTTGAAGATATCAAATTCAAGAGAATGTTCTTCATTACTTTAATGTTACGACCTGCATCAAAATAACCATTTTCCGTGGATACAAAAAAGACGTGTTGGCACAAGATGAACAATATGTGTTACTTATTGGTGTTTTCACTTTTTATCGTGCATTCATGTTTGGTCAATTTTAGATCGTATTTACTTTTTTTTATTTGGCATAACTAGGCAACAATATACATGCCGCTTTTTTAGGCTAACTCACTATTGCTATTTCGGAAACGATAAGACCTACAAGGTCCTTTAAACAAAAAAAATCCCATTTTGGGGAACTAGAACAATCTCTTTTGCGATCGAGAATATCAGCGGTTGTTTTTGAAATATTCTCTAAAAACAAGAATTGTCAAATTTTGATTTTTGGCTTCATCGCCTCCTTTTCAAATGATATGAAACAAAGCGAATACACTTTCATTACTGTTTTTTATTTGTAATGATCTGATATAAACCAATATGCAATGCAACGTTTCGTTCATTAGATTTCATCGTCAATGATATGTTTTCTAAACATGAAAATGTCATTGTAGTCATTGTAATAACAACTTCAGCTATGTTTCACAATATATGTTTTTTCATGCGTTTTTTCCATCATCACTGTATGATCATACAATTCCCTGGATCAGAGCTACCTCAAATAAGTAGTGACCAATATTTCTTGGGCAAAGAAAAAAGAACAACTCATCTAGAGTATCCGATAAGAATTCCAAATACGAGTATTATTCCCCCGTCAAAGGTGTCTCAAAAACGTAGGGACCTATGATCTTGGTGTTTATCACACCAAGCCAAACATCAAATTCAAATCTCTCTTTGAAATTTGTAGCTCAATAAAGCAAGGAATTTTCTTGTCGCCAGTGGTAATTTGTTGAATCATCCGTTTGTGAATCTACTCTCATCACATCGTGAAATTTTATTAGATATTTCATCATCCTGAAGATTTTGTTTGAGTAGTCATCTACAAAATATTTTCATTACTGAGAATGTCTTTTGAACTCATTCAAAACCCCAAACTCAGTATCATCACGTCTTTGAGTTGCTCAGTACAACTCTTACTCTAGCGTTTTTCAAATGAACCATGATTCCGTAAACTCCTCTCAATGCTTTTAAAATATCTTTTGTATGGCTGACGTTTCTCATGGTACAATTTCCTATACATAGCTAGAGATCCAGTGTCAATTCTCAAACATCTCGCGTACACGAAGAGCATACCAACTTTCCCGTCACTAGAAAAATACATGGTTTTTCCCCCACAAATTCACACGAAACGAATGATTACTTACGTACTTATCATTCACAGTAAATTTGACAATTATACATATTCTGTTAATTCATGGCTCAGGTTGAACAAATCAATTCATTTTCCCCCACTATTTTTATTCACCAGGAAACATCAGAAAAAAACATTTATGTTCCATGAAAATTGGAATTTGAACAGTTCTTTCATATTTATACAGAAACCCCGGAATACATGGGAGTTCACACTTTCGCAAATTTAAAAAAAAATGTGTGGAGTTGATAAGTATATCTTTCAGTTCTAATATATTGGTTTCTACCTTTTTGAGACTACACAAATATTGATTATGTTATTTCTCTTTAATTTTTTAAAAAAGTGGCTACAAAAATCGATGAAAAAACTGGAGGTCCGTATTAAAAAAAATAAAGTTAACGATGAATAAATGAAATGAAAAAAACGTCGCATTGCAAATTGGTTTACATAGGATTATAAAAAATATGAAACAGTATTGAAAGTTCCTCCGTTTTTTTACATCATTCGACATGGAAGCAATAGGGCCAAAAAACGAAGTTCGCAACTCTAGTTTTAGGCGAATATTTTAAAAACAACCACTGATATGCTTGATCTGAAAAGAGATTATTCTAGTCCTTCAAAATAAAAAACTTTTGTTCAATTTAACCAATCTCGTATGTCTTACTGTTTCCGAGATAACAGTAGTGGGATCATTAAAAAACTGCCTGTACATGGTGATCATACACCACGATTTTTGTTTCTACGAAAGAAAAGCAAAAACCTTTCTTCCTAAGAAATGCTGGACATTCATACATCACAATGATGTGGAATTGGAAGAGTTCAAACCAAAAAGAAATCAAAATGTTGTGAAACAAACTGGCTATCATAACAATTTCATAGAGTTATAGTTAGGCAAAGGTTTGGAATGGTTTGGTGGTGCTCGAACAAATGACTTATTGAAAGAAATGAACAGGATAAAGAACGTGTCCAGCTACAATTGAAAAATGAATTATTGGTAAAAAAAATTTAAAAAACTGAGAAGAAAGGTTGATGCAAATCTATCAATTTATTACATCACACAATTTATATAAAATTCAATTCCAAAGTTGTCGTTTTAGATTATTTGAAATTCAGCCACTTCAAGTTTCACCATCTACAAACGTATCTTGGATAGGATTGATTTTCACAGAACATGTTCAGTTCTAAGACTCTGCTTCACAGGATTCTGAATGATCAATTGTAGAATACGGAGGCGCCTAACGATATATATTGTTCAATTGTGTGTCTACAGCTCTATGCCGACAAGCTGAATAGCGGGAATGTCTTTCATCTTTCATCTGAATATCCTCCGTGATGTTTTCTCTAAATGAGTTTTCATTCTTTCTTGCTGAAATGACATTTAAGATCTTAAGTAAATACTGCACAGTAAAAAGTATTTCTTTAAAAGAAGATCATAGGTTGCCATCAGAATATCACACTTTTTTCAACAAAGAAATCAAATTTCTTGGCCTTTCAACGACATCATTCGTTTGATTACATCATTGCGAAAATGAACTATTTTGAATCAAAAAAATATAATATCATCTCAAATCCACCACCTATTTGAAGGGAAAAATAAACTGTTTCAAATGGAGAGCAATATCAACTTGATCTAAACACATAGTGTTTGTTTGAATTTGATACTGTATCCCTTCAAATAACTCAATTCGTTTATAACAAGAGTTTTGTGAATCTACATACAAAACTATATTATGATCGACTGAAAATAACAGGAATTTCAATTTGAAAAAAACTGTGGTGCTCTGGTCTTTCTGTGACCCTCTTAAGTGAGAGGGGAGCGGGTGTATAAGTTTGAGAATGTCCATATAGGACGAAACTGCAGTAACGTTAGTTACAAATAAAAGTGGTAAAAAACAGAAATTTTTATTTCTCTTTTCATTATGATCTCCTACCACGTAGAAACGGCTACATCCATCAATTTATTGACATGTTTACTCTTTTCCAACTCATACTGAGAATTAATGGAACTGATACTTTGCTCTCAACTAATTCCTAGAAAAAATAAAGTCTTCGGTTCGACAGTATGTTTTTTGTAACTATTCGAAGTATACAAAGTAATGCCAGAATGAAAATTTGTAGTTTATTATAATATGAATCAAAATTTTCAGTAAAACTTCAAATGCTCCCATACTCAATCATATTTAAAGTTTAAAATGAATCAAATACTTTGCGAACAGCGAACAGAAATCAATTCTGTCACATGCAAATGTGTGTTATCTGAATGCACTCTTCGACAACTCCACCACATAGTTCATTCTCTTCTCGAAGATCCTTAGATATTCGATTGCTTTTGAGATGGATACGATACGTCGATGATGTACTCATATTTACTATTCTCAACGGAGTTTTGAAATAAAGAATAGCTAGGTACCATTCCAGTACACAATAGTTATAAAAAACGCCGATAATGGCTTAGAATTTGATGTATATAGTAAGAACAATAACACTTGCATATTCATGTAACACTTTCATATTCAATTATTAGTTCTTGTCGATATTTTTATCGAACACCTTACAAAACCGCAACACGTTTTTCATTATACTGTTACGTTTTTCCCGTGGGTTTACCAATAAATGATTACACTGTACAACTAAAACAATCACGTAGCGCCAGTCGATTTTTGCCACGTCACGAATGATTGACAACGGCCAGCGGCGGTTGGCGATATTTTTTCAGGGGATGATTCACAACCCTACCCCGTTCCCCGTTGTTCGCCCCGAATAACATTCCGATAGGGAACATCACGCCCTATACAGGGTGTCCCTGGACTTCCTCTTTTCCTCTCGGGAATGTATAGATGGGGTCAAAATATCACCAGTACTTCATATAACTTTTTTTCCTAAAAGTCTTCGTAACCAAGTTACGGGCCCTCGAAGTTACAAAATGAAAAATGTTTTTCTTTGATAACTTTTCAAGTGAATATTCAAAATCATCCAAATTTTGGTAATTGACTAAACAAATG